TAACTATGGAAGGAGAAAAGACAGAATTTTGGTGGGTAACTGTGAGTTGATTATGATAACTCTCTGTTTACCTTGAGGCAGTCAGATTATGGTTAGTGTTGTTCTGTTTATACAAGCGAATGGTGTTGGTGTAGTATTACTGCTGTATGTGGCAGTGATGTTACCAGAATGCCAGAAAAAATATAGGGAAATATTATCCAGTTCCCTCTTGTGGCCAATTCTGCTATTGTACTTTGATAATAATTAACAAAATATAGACCAGAATCCTGCTGGTATTCATACAAGCTTTGTTCATCTCTCCCCAACTAATAGCTTCAGAATGACAAAGTGCTAAAGTATACAGTACATTGGTACATGTATCTGTTGGTCATTCTCCTGTTTTGCAGAGCAACATTGCTTATTTCACAGAATGTGCCCTGCATAACTTAAAGTAGTCTGAGGCCTTAAAATATGGCTAAGGATCTTATCCCACTGACATTGTTGCAGATTCAGCTAATAGCTTTGTGGGTTTCTCCACATGAAATGAATTGGGTGGGGGATGCATTTTTCCTTTTCCTCATGGTGCAAAATATTTTGGACTCATCCTTATATTCTCTAACGTTAGCATATAGAAGTGTTTATGTACATTCTTTTTCTCACAGTTTTGCTCAGTTGACCATGTTTCTATTAACACCATTTCAAGGAAATCCAAAATGCTGTCTGCTTTCAAGACATCCATTATCCCATATTCTTCTTCATCATAAAACTAATTACCACAGAAACTACAAAGGGACGTGCTGCTCTCAAATGAGATGTGTATTGTCCTAACTTACTCTGCTGAGCATTTTTCATGGGTGAGAGAAGCATGGCCTTCTCCTGAATCCATCTAGGCATTAGTCTTTTAATTACATGCCCATTATCACACTAGAGTCTAGCAGATTAACATGCTGTTATTTTTATCATCCAAACCAGCACTTTTTGACCCAGATTTTCAGTCTACACTATAAATCTGAGAACTGTGGTAATTAGTGAGTTAATGAGTATGGTTTCAGAATGGCTACAGATGCAAGCTGTCACACACATAAACTTTTCATATTTATTCGTTATTTCCACTTCCATACTGCCCCATTAGCACAAACACACTCTGAGCACTTTGCAACATAGTTTCTAAGAAGATCTCACTGATATTAATATGAGAAGATCATAGAAGAGCATAGCTCTAATTATAGGCTGGGCAAATATCGTATTTTTCCATGTATAAAATAGCACCTTTTTCCTAAAATTATTAGAGGAAAAATTGAGGGTTGTTTTATACACGGACGGAAACGAAGGAGCAGCCTCACTCACCCACCTCTCGCGGCTGCCCATTGATTGCTGCCGCCGCCTTCAGATCACCTCCTCCAGCACCACTCATGGGCTCCCTTTGGAGAGGGGACAAGGTGGTGACGTGAGCTGGAGGTGAGCCCCAGCACTGGCCCTGGAGGAGTTGATTGGGCAGCAGGAGGCAGAGGCGGAGCATAGCTCTAATTATAGGCTGGGCAAATATCGTATTTTTCCATGTATAAAATAGCACCTTTTTCCTAAAATTATTAGAGGAAAAATTGAGGGTTGTTTTATACACGGACGGAAACGAAGGAGCAGCCTCACTCACCCACCTCTTGTGGCTGCCCATTGATTGCTGCCGCCGCCTTCAGATCACCTCCTCCAGCACCACTCATGGGCACCCTTTGGAGAGGGGACAAGGTGGTGATATGAGCTGGAGGTGAGCCCCAGCACTGGCACTGGAGGAGGTGATTGGACAGCAGGAGACAGAGGCACAGCTGAGATGGGTTGCCCCTCGTGGCTGCCCATTGACTGCTCCTCTGCCTCTGGCAAGGGTCAAAATTAGGGATCGTCGTATATATTGGTGGGTCGTATACAGTGGACCCTTGACTTACAGACGGCTTGACTTACAGACTTTTTGAGTTACAGACTTCTCTGGCCGCAAAATTTAGGTTTGACTTGCAGACTAAGATTTGACTTACAGACCAGAAAAAAACCAAAATGGAACAAAAACGGCCTGTTACGGGACTAATCAGTTTTCAATGCACTGTAGGTCAATGGAGACCTGACTTACAGACTTTTTGACTTGAGAACCGCCTTCCAATACGGATTAAGTTCTCAAGTCAAGACCCCACTGTACACGGAAAAATACGGTATTTCCATACTTGGTTTCCCCCACTCCCTTGTGTAATCCAAATCCAACCACAATGTTATCTTTATAATACAAGAGGATTCTTGGGTGGAGGGAGGGGAAATCTTATACTTAGGGGTCACCTGATGAAAAAGAAGACAGGGCTCATGTTCATTTAGTAGTTGTGTAGAGAAGGAAATTTCAAAAGGTGTGGCTTGCATTAAAATATGAATGTGCTGAAACATTTTCTTCTAAGCAGTTGTTAAGAGCTCAGGAACCCTCTTCAGTTTTTAATCTGGTCACCCAATATATACAGCTCTTTTATAGCCACTCCGTATGTTAACTGCCACACTCCTTGCTGTGGAGGCTTAAGATTTGTAGTTTGGTGAAGCACCTAGAATTATCTTCTAGAGAGCTTCAGTACATTGCATTAAATTACAACTGAGAATTGTACATACAAAGCTGAGAATCCTGGGATTCTGTAGGATAAAGGCATGATATTTAAAGTGGTACCGGATGGTTGCAAATATATGAGAAGGAAAAATTCAGTGGTCATGACAACTCAAGTCACTTCCGGTGCATGCAGCTTTACAACAGTTGCTCTCAAACCATTGTTCTAGAAGAAATGTTACAGGAATCTTATAAACAATTTTCTAAGGTTAAAGATTGCCTTACTTAAAAGCTAACTGGTCCAGAAGATGCGCAGGCACAATGGGGTTCTCAGTGCTTTTTAAGATACATTCTAATTATTAGCATAGAATTCAATAGCCATGTCTACTGTGGTCCATGCATAAAGCAAAACCACACAAACGGGAACGAGCAACTTTGCCGAGTGGCAAGCACTGTCTTCAATATCAGAAGTAACCCTACACTAGGAATATTAATCCTGACTTGATTGGTTCTTGATTATGAAAATTAAGTTTTACATGCATTGCAAAAATACTGTGTATGGAGAGAAAGGAATTGACATTTCATTCTTTCATCAAATCCAAGATCTCTAGATGGGGTTAATGAATCTTTAAGACATAGTCCCACTGTGCTGAGATGGTTTTACTCATGTAGAGTAGAGTTGATGAAATCTCTCCATGGCTTGATTCAGCCATGGAGAGATTCATCAACTCTGCTCTACATGTGTAAAACTGCGTTTATGTTCGTATCTTTCTTACACAATGAAAAAACACTGTTTTTTCAAGGTTTGTAATCAGTTGAAGAAGACTCTACAAGTGCACAACATGCATAGGTTTAATTTAATTTTTTAATGCAAATCCATGTCATATCTATGTAAACATCTGCAAGGGGGGAGGCATGCATGGGCTAGAATCCTGATAACTCAGAATACTGGCTTGTGTGGAAACTTCCACACACAAAATCCTATTCAGAATGTAATGCTGTGTTTTTCTCATCCTTGCAACATTTTTCCAATTGCTGGGAAGGATGATGAAACATTTTCTGGTAGTCTATGCAGAATTTTCCCAATGGTGATAATATTTCATAGAAAAAGGGCCACGTAATGCAGAACTATCCATGTAATTCAAAAGTGCACAATTTACACAATTGTGTGAAATGGGCAAATTGCCCAACACAAAGATAACCACTGCTTTATTTAAGCATATGGATCATTAGATTGGTTGTTTGCATCTTTCTTAACAAATCCTTCTCTGTTTGCTTCTCAAAAAGAAAGGAGCCAGGGACATTCTGTATGAATTACAGATCCTGAGGGGGGGGGGGTGGAATTCCTAGGCTAGAGGTGAGCTTTAAAAATTCCTCATTTGAGCAGCCTGTTCAAGGAAAACATGGAATTTAGCCAAAAAAAATTTCCATCTCTAAATGGTCTGCTTGAGAACCACTTCCCTCAAAATGTTCATGCCACATATGTATATAAAAAGCATTTAGAGCTTGTGGCACTGGGAAACATATGTGTTCTTGCCACCCTGTTCCTATTCTGGTGGTGATTCTGCTAAAACATAAATAGGGCTAAAGCGTGTTCACTTTGACCCAGCCTTTCCATTTGTTCACTCCAGACCTATTCGGAATTCCGCACAAACTGTGATTGTACCATACACCTTGTTTCTGGGTTCTGTCAAAAGTGCAGGGTATGTTCAGCAGATACAGTGGACCCTCGATTTACGAAATTAATCCATATTGGAATGGTGGCTGCAGGTCGAAAAGTCTGTAGGCCGAGGCTCCATTGACCTACAATGCAATGAAAACTAATTAATCTGTAACTGGCCGTTTTTGTTCCATTTTGGGTTCTTTTCCGGTCTGTAGGTCGATTCTCCGGCTGCAAGTTGAACCTAAATTTTGTGGCCAGAGAAGTCTGTAACTCAAAAGTCTGTAAGTGGAGCCATCTGTAAGTCAAGGGTCCACTGTAAATAGATGTGACAATCGTTTTCTGAAGACAGGAGGCAGCAAAATCTTTTCTGCACAGAAAGAGCTTATCTTTACCTGATTAATTAATATTTCATTATCAGCTATGTAAACAAAGAGTGTCTCTCAATATGACAAAAGATTTTGGCTGCTATTGCTACTCGGTGTGCAGAAATGAGTAGCGTTTTTCAATCCTCTCTCTAATCACAGTGATGTTATCCAGGGAAAAAGCCACTGGTAATAATGCTATAAATGGTTAGACTATCAAAATGCATTGGGCATGCATTATGTGGTGAAATGAAACCTCAGATGTGACTAGAGTTTGAAATATCGATTGATTCTGATTTCACTTTGTTTTCTTTGGCTTATTGCAAATGTGGGGTGCTGCTGGTTGAATAGGCACACAGAGAAGGCATTGACTGATTCTGATTTGACTTTTATTTCCCCCCCTCTAATCTGTGATTATCTCCCATCCTTGCAGGCCCCGTCGTGTGATTTACCATGGAAAAATTGTTCTGCAGCATCCTGTTGTTTGGAGTGGCTGTTGTGGTCAACGCTTGTCCAAAATATTGTGTCTGTCAGAACCTGTCTGAGTCTCTGGGGACTCTTTGCCCTTCCAAGGGCCTCCTTTTTGTACCACCAGACATAGACAGAAGGACTGTTGAACTCCGGCTTGGGGGGAACTTCATTATTAACATCAGCAGACAAGATTTTGCCAACATGAGTGGACTTGTTGACCTTACGTTGTCTAGGAATACTGTAAGCTACATACAGCCCTATTCTTTTGCTGACCTGGAAAGCCTGCGGTCATTGCACTTGGATAGTAATAGGCTGCCCGATATTGGGGAGGATATTTTGAGAGGCCTCATTAATCTGCAGCACTTGATTCTAAACAACAACCAGCTGAGCTATATCTCAGATGAAGCCTTTGAAGATTTTTTGTTCACCTTAGAAGATCTGGATCTTTCCTACAATAACCTCAGAAGCATTCCATGGGAATCTATAAGAAAGATGGTAAACTTGCACCAGATAAGTTTGGATCATAATTTAATAGATTATATTACAGAGGGGACTTTTGCAGACCTTCAGAAACTAGCCAGGTTGGACCTAACATCCAACAGGCTTCAGAAACTTCCTCCTGATCCCATATTTGCCAGGTCCCAAACATCTCCACTGACCTCAACTCCCTTTTCCCCACCTTTATCTCTGAGCTTTGGAGGAAACCCTTTGCATTGTAATTGTGAACTGTTGTGGCTGCGGCGTCTTGATAGAGATGATGACATGGAAACATGTGCTTCTCCACCAGGTCTCAAAGGGAGATACTTTTGGTATGTCAGGGAAGAGGAGTTTGTTTGTGAGCCACCTCTGATTACTCAGCACACCCACAAATTGTTGGTTTTAGAAGGACAAACAGCCACCTTAAAGTGCAAAGCCATTGGGGACCCCTCCCCGGTCATTCACTGGGTAGCCCCAGATGATCGACTTATTGGGAATTCTTCAAGGACAGCTGTTTACGATAATGGCACTTTAGAAATCCTGATCACAACCTCCAAGGATTATGGAAAATTCACATGCATAGCAGCGAATGCTGCAGGAGAATCTACAGCAACAATTGAGTTGTCCATAGTCCAGCTCCCACATCTCAGCAACGGCACAGGACGAGCAGCCCCACCCAAATCCAGACTGTCTGACATCACCAGCTCCAGCAAGTCCAATCGAGGGGAAGCCAAGGGACCACCAGAAAGGGCTGTCTTGATTTCTGAGGTAACCACTTCTTCAGCTTTGGTCAAATGGACAGTGAGCAAGTCTGCTCCAAGAGTTAAAATGTACCAGCTACAATATAACTGCTCAGATGATGAAGTTCTAATTTACAGGTAAGGCTGTCAGCTTTTCTTCTTGGAAGAGAAATGAAGGGGTGGCCGTGGGTGATTGGGTCGAATGAATCATAGCATCTGTCTCCTACTGATAGACTTGTTACAGAATATGACAATGGAAAGATGATAGTTCCCCTGCCTTCTAGCATCCCTGCTAGAATACTGGTACATACTAGGATGTAACACAGGAAATCCAGGGATATGGATAAAGGTGCCTGCCTACAGCCCCAGAGCACAGAAACCTTAATCTTTGGACTGTCTGGCCCTGACTGCCCCATCTAGGATGGGCATTTGTGTATGTCTCCAAATAGCCATGCCTGAAAAATCTTCGTCAATATCTTTATAGGCCTTGCAGTCCATGAAATGCCATTCTTCAAAATCCTGATCTGTAGCTCAATCTTGATCTGTTGATTATCAATGACAGCAGATAAAACAGCTCTGCTCTGTGTTCCCCCATTACTCTACCAAACATGTTTTGTGTTGCTACCCAACCTTCACACTTGCTGTTAACCTTACACTACAGTAGTTCTGCTTTGATTATCATTGGTCGAATTGTGCATTGTGGGTCTGTGTAAAAAAGATCTGACAGATTTATTTATTTATTTAATTTCTGTATTTATAGATTCTGTATTTACAGGTAGTCGATCCTCATTATCCATGACTGTTCATCCTGCATATTTTCACTGCAAGCAGGAAAGAAAACTATGTCTGCAGGGTTCAGAACTTGGAAACACTGGCTCTTTGGATTATGGTTCCCAGAAATTTATGTCAGCCGGGCCTCTAGGGAAGTCTGAGACTTATAGCCAGAAAAGTAAGATTCCTAAGCTCTGGCAGTGACTGAAAAATCAATGCCAGGTATTGTTGTTATTGTTGTCTGGATTGAATGTAAGGTGCTTTGCCAGGTGAAAAGGAACAGCTCATTCTGCTCTTGGCTGTGGGGAGCAGGATACCTGCATGTTGTATAGGTTTCACAACCAATGTATTCTTTTGAAATATAACAGTGAAAGGGGTGCGAGGACCATATTTCTCCTATCCGTGAAGACCATTAATTTTGGTTGGGTGAGGGTACTCATTTCATGCCAGAGGTATTTTGCAGGCCCTTTCATTGAGATAATAGTATGAAACTGCTTTCTCTGTGCCATTCTTGGCTGTTTGAAGGAGATCTCAGGGTTGCTGTAGCCTCTTGTGAAGCAGTAGAAGCAAGAAATAAAGAGAAAAGTTTCTCATCAGTCTTGCCAGCTGCATGGAAGGTCAAACTCAGTCAAATTGTGACACAGTTGTTGGTGTCAGCGTTATTAGGATTAATGTCAGTGTTTGCCAACAGTATGTAAGTGTATTCTTCTGGAATTCCAACAACACTGTTTTACTGTGCATCTGACTATAGGCCCTGAACTGCAGAAATCACATCAATCTCTGTGGAACCAGAATAAGACACATCGTTTAGCGCAGCAAATGTTTAGACTCAGGCCAATTTCCTCATGAGCATCTAGGTGGCACTTGCTCAAACAGACTAGTCCTTTGGGCAGGACTGACATGTGCATTGAAGCTGTAACTCACATTCTCCTTGCCATGAATATGATGATGTGCTAGGTTTATATGGGGCAGTTTAAAAAAAAGGGATTCTCTTTTCAGTTCTACCATCTAAAGCTCTAGCATTCATGTTGAGAACTTTAAAAACACACAAGGCAATTTGAGTTCTCTTTTGGCTGCACTGTTTTGCCACGCAATCCACAGACACTTGTGAGACCTTCAATTAATAACCTTCAGTCAAGGATTCTGTTTTGCAGTTGTGCTACAAAAGTTCAGTGGCACAACTGTGGTGAGTTCTGTTGTGCAATGGTTAAGACCCTAGTGAACTTGGAGGGGCAATGCAGCTTCCTAGTACCCATTCCCAAAAGAAACTCTGTCAGATCAGAGTATCAAATGAATTAATTATAAGCAGTTAAGTTACCTATAACAAATTACTTTTTTTGTAAAGAAGGCAGTGTTAGTATGATGTATGAAGTAAGTTTTCCTCCTGATGACTAAAAGTAGTGTAGCTACTAATAATGGGGAGATATTGCCTTTTTTTCACCATTAAAATTTTTGATTAGTTTTAATACAGTGGTGCCTCGCTAGACAGTTACCCCTCATGACAGTTTTTTTTGCTAGACTTTGACTTTTTGCGATCGCTATAGCAATTCGCAAAACAGTGATTCCTATGAGGGATTTTTGCTGGACAGTGTTTGGTCCCTGCTTTGCAAACCGATTTTCGCTAGACAATTTTGCTAGCTCCCTCCGTGCTCGCAAAACAGGTGTTTTGGGGACCTAAGCTTTGCAAGACATGGATTTAAACAGCTGCTCAGCGGTTCACAAAGTGGCTTTCCTATGGCTGATCTTCACTAGACAACGATGATTCTTCCCTAATGGAACACATGAAACAGGTTTCAATGCATTCCAATGGGAAATGCTTTTTTCTAGACAATGATTTCGTTAAACAGCGATTTCAGTGGAATGGATTATCATCGTCTAGCAAGGCACCACTGTACAGTGAAATAACTTAAACCATCATCCCAAAGTCACTCTCACCTCTTTCCCCCACCTTTAGAAGCAGCTGTATGGCATTACAACAACTGTGACATATCACAACATTTAAGTTCTTAAACCATCATCCCAAAGTCACTCTCACTTCTTTCCCCCACCTTTAGAAGCAGCTGTACGGCATTACAACAACTGTGACTGATATCACAACATTTAAGTCAAACACATATGGAAACCTAATCAATCAATCAATCAATCAATCAATCAATCAATCAATCAATCAATCAATCCAAACATCTCAAGATTACAAAGCATAAATGGAGGTGGGGGGATAATAAGGAAGGGGACAGGAGAGGAAGATGACTTACAAATAGCAGCTTACGTATTTCCTCACAGACCTAAGCTAACTATCAAACATTTCTGAGAATGTGGACCAAATCGTCATGTCAGTTAAATGTGACTTTCTCTTTTACATCCATACCCAAAGAATGTCTGTATATGACTCTATATGCAGCATAGTGGAGGATTTTCATCTCCATAAGATAATTTGTCTGGCCAACACAGCTGCTCACAGAATCCAAAATCTGTGTCCCTTTCAGTGTCCCATTTTGCAGATAACAATCTCAAAAGTAAATTATAAGCAGAGGAATCCTGTATTGTACCTAGTATAAAATAAGGTGACAGGGATAAGAGTCCCGCACAGCTCACAGTAGGGCAAAAGCTTGCATCATCCTGCTGTTCTGTTTAAAATTTCTTATTTCATTTATTAGTCCCTTTCCAGGTGGCCACTAGAGAGTGATGTGAGGCAAGGCTCCACAAAATGCATTAAGACTTCCTCCTTTCCCTGGAGCATTTCCTCCTATTGACTTTCTGATGGCCTGCAGAGACGGAGGGACATAATAAAGGAATTTATTTTAAATCATTCTACAGCAGGAAACGAGTTTGCACTGCTGTAAGCAGCAAGGGGTCATTGTTTTCAGCAAAAGATAGAGCATCTGGCCATCACCATCAAAGCTAAGCAGCAGCATCTTCTCATGTCAGAAACAGCACTGACAACAGAACACATCACACCACCTTTAGTTTGCTGTTATTCTGGGGAAGTAACATAATGTCAATGGCAATGAGGCAGGTGATTTCCTTCCATCTGCCCCCCATAGGTGAGGGGTATCAAAGGGCCCTTGTGGAATGAACATATGAGCCAAATTCATTGAACACCTCTTCATCCCATAATGAACACACAAGGCAGCCTTCTTGCACGAAGCCCCACTGGGAGTCTCCTCATTAACAGCATTCCTTAGGGAAAGGCAGCTCAACTTGAACTTCTTGGGCTGCACCTGGTCCTTCCCCCCACCGATCAATGACAGGTAAGCCCCCCCATCTGTTGTCTAGGGGGTTGTTCAAGGTGCTGTCATTCAGTGTGGAGACACCACAACTGGTGCTTCCTTCTTTAGTATCTTTTTTTGGGTCAGTGAAGGTTGCACCTCTTGTTACACCTGAACAGCAATCCAGAGTAAGCACAGGAACAGTGACATGGTATATCGACAAAGGTGCAGTCAGTATAATTCTAGCCTTCTGCACATCAACTGCACATTTCCATCTTTGACATCCACCCACTCATCTTCCTCCTTATCATCTTCTCTACCCCTGGTTTTCTCTTCATCCCACTCTCTAGCCTCTCATCCTTACCTGATAGCCACAGGTGCTTTAAATGCGTAGCAGATGGCTCCTCTTCTCTTGCACCTGCTGCTGTAGAGCTGCCCTTTGATGTGGAGGGGCCCTCCACAGATGGCACTGTGACTCAGAAGGTTTGTCCCTCCTCCTGATTTGGCCACACAGGATGCCAGTACCAGGCTCCAGTGGCATGTTGCAATGCCCAGTTGGAGACATAGGGGTAGACCTGGCTCCACCAGCCCTGTCACATGCCCCAATGGACAATATTACAATTTACTTTTTAAAAGTAATATTCTGAACTCTATTTCAAATGGAGGACTCTGATTCAAAAAAAAAGGGCACATACCACTCTTATTGTAACTTGGCACTATTGTTCTCCATCTCAAGCAGAGGAGTTGTTATGGGGCCATAGTGGGCTTTCCAAAACAAGTCTTGTTTAAAGATATAGAAGGAGAAGAAGAGAGATCCAGGGACCTACATATGTTGCCTCACAATAAGTATGTAGACAAATCAGCGAGTACACAAATCACCTGGTTACTGTCTTCTCATATAAATGAGATGTCCTGTGATTCCGTTTAAAATTACAAATACCATTTCTCACTTTACACCTTCATGTACAAATTAGCACATGCAAATCAGTGCCCTCTTTTGCCCTCTTTTTTGCTACAGGCCCTCCTTTCCGGTGAGTGGCCAGCTTAGTGCAGGATCTGTCTCAATCCAATGAAGGCCGAAGCAAGCTACAGGTCTGAAGTACAGGAGTCAGACTTTCCAAAACCAGATACCTGGTTTCTCTCAAGTTATTTCCATGA